ATGCTCGCTCCGCACATCCGACCACTGTTAAAAGAGCTGTTATCCGTAACATGCTCAAAACAGCAACGAACGTATGCACAGGAGAAGAAGAACGGAAGGAGTCGCAGAGATGGGCGCTGGATATTGCTCGAATGAATGGCTACACGTTTCGAAATGGACGTGGTAGACATCTATTTCCATCAATAGCAACCAGCACCAAGAAAATACCTCTCTGTCTTCTTTCGTTTCTGACGCGACTAGTGCTATAGTGCGACGATGCATTAAACACGCGAACCTCGAAAACGATGTCGTTTTGATTGACATTCCAAGTGATAACATCAGGAAGCGGCTAGTACGTAACAGACTTTACGACAACTACTGCAGAATCCAAGACTGTGTAGTTTGTCCATCCGGTAAAGCTGGTGACTGCGGTAAGACCGGTGTGATATATGAGATCAAATGTATTGAGTGCAGCGCCACTTATATCGGAGAGACTGGGAGACAGTTATGGGTAAGAATGAAAGAACATCTTGCCAGCAAGAGACCGGGGGGGGAAAGTCTTACCACACCGCTCGGTAAACACAGAGTTGAATTCCACTGTGGTAAGGACTTCGGAATCAGATGTACTATACTGGCACACGAGTATGGCACTGCTAGTAGAAAAGCTCTCGAGGCATTCTGGATTTTCGCAAGAAATCCATGCATGAACAGCCGAAATGAGTGTGCGTCAATCACGAATGACTTTATGCCTTTCTTGGGATTATGTGAGTTGAAGAATGCCGCTAGTGATTAGTGTCAACACGGTATGACCATATTTCACTATTAGTACTAGTGGCACTCGAGGACTGCCGCATTCAACATCTACGCGGCAGCGGCGGAGGAGGTTGGTTCGTCTTTCACGTTTCTGCGTATTTTCGTTTGTAGCATTCGGGGGTGAAGTCGAGGCTAGCCAGGATGGAAGAGGTTTCTGGTGGGGTAAGGCATAAAATCATTGATCTCTTACCACTTTAGGCCTCTGAAGAAGACGATCCAGTCGAAACGTCAGGCCGCCACTAACTAATAAAGTACTAACCTCGCTCGCTTACTAACCTACTAACCTACTAACGCATCGAAATATGCCGAGATTAACAAAAAAGGAAATTTGGAACTTACTTCGTTTTCTCTTTAGCTGGAGAAAAATACAGCAACTGCATAGAGAAATGTCTTATAAGAAATGACAATGCATGAGCTTGTTAGAAATTTTGACGGATTTTTTCTGAACGGACTTCTAATTTTTCCTTGATTTTTGGGGACGCTTGGATCTTTTTTTTGGCTTCAATTTTCGCTTGGATCAAAGCTGGTGCAAATCTTAAGCACTATCTTGTAGAGCTAGGTTTGCTCTATCTAATGATATATCGAATCCCATCTGGGATACAGGATTATTGCGGTCTGTACCTATTTTGGTGCAGGAATTATGCATCAACGTAATACAATTGAATGTGCGATGTGTTCAAGCATACGCTGGAATAAATGGAAAATTTTGAGACACTTTGGGGCGGAGATACGATTTTTGATGGAAAAGTTCGTTTTCGACTGCTGTCAGATTGCAGCTCAAAACTTCCGTTGAGATACGATTTGGGCGAACTCTTCAAAGCCATTTCGTAGAGCTTGTTTTGCCTTATCGAATTATTATTCAAGCCACATCCGTTGAAGGATAAATACAAAGAGACGGTTATAGTAAAAACTGTAAAAATTATGGGACACCCTAATAGATGTTTACTTGTGAACACATCCCTGCAGAGGTATTTAAAATATATAGAAATTGTTTAAATTATAGGATATCAAAAATAGAGTCACATCGAATGAGCAGATACTTTAATCTCAAAAAGTACGTTACGAACAGTGTCATACCTTTGCTCTATGATGTGTAGATTGCGTGGCCCATTACTGATGCAAACGGCGCGGGCGAGAATAATTGGTATTTGAGTGCTGCAGACAGGACTGTACATCATTCCTTCTAGCTGGGACTCTTATCTTGTACTCAGTTTTCACATATCTATCTCTTGTAAACCGTACACTTTCCCTTAACTTATATGATATATTTATTATTATTATTTTCGTCCTCATTAGGTAGTCACATACTTGTTATAAAAAGGGGCTGCATTCTAAGTTTTAGAGGCTTCCTCGGGGAACTACTGATGTAAGGACATTGAGTCTGAGGGCGCCCAGAAAGTAGCATTAGTTAGCGGTCTAGTTCTTAGCTCCAAAACTGGAATGTAGAAAGGATTCTAATTTACTTCAACACTAGCACCTTTCATGATTGAGCGTCCTGTACTATCATCTCTGTACAAGTCGTACATGGGATCGGGAAATATGGACATGGGTTCCAAAACGGAAACGGCACCCGTCTCTTTGACCTTCTTTCCGCTACACGACTTTCCATTTTCCACGACTTAAACTTTCTAAATGGTATGTTTCTATTCCCATTTACGCAGTCTCCTCCTAACTCATAAGGTCAAACAGTGCAGTTGTTTGATATACACCTGCATATAGTGGCATCTGTTTCTGACCAACTGCTTTTTGATGCTGTCTCTAGGTATATCAGCTAGTCTAACATCGTTTTGCAGTTGAGCTCGAAAGATGAACTGTTTGATTGCCCCGTTGACTTTATTGCAAATGAAAGGTACTCATAGCGGAAGTCTAGTGTCATTACGCTACTTCTTCTCACTTCTATCTTTATCAAATTTCCCTAGTGGTGTGTGGCTGTTCAAAGGCGGCGTCCAAGCAAAAAGTCGATTTTGAGATTTTGTCTTATCCGGACCTATTCGCCATGCTGAATTCGATAAACCACATTGGAGAACGCGAAAACGGCGAAAAAAGGCCCTAACGCAAGAGGGAAATCGGAGGTGGGCAGGGCCGTTCACACAGTGACGTCACTCTCCTAGGCTTTGGAAGCGATCTCCTCGGTTTCGATTTTATGTCATGCGTTTCGCAGTCGGCTGGTGGTGATGTTAGGGTGACTAGCGGAAGCGAGAAGATTGCTCCTGAAGCTGGAAGATGACGCCATTATGTGAACAGCCCCGCCTACCTGCAATTTCCCTCCTCCGTTAGAGCCTTTTTTCGCCGTTTTCGCGCTCTCCAGTGTTGATTTTCGGATTCAGCATAGCGAATAGGCCCAGGTGAGCACAAAATCTCGAGGTCGACTTTTTGCTTGGACACTGCCTTTAAGAGGCACTGCCTACTGAACGCAATTTTTGCAGGCAATTCTCATGATTCGCGTCGCTCATCCTCGCCTGTGCATACTCTCACAACAGTATTAACATGTTACGTATTACGGTATATTTGAGTGCTGGGTGAGCTAAGGCTGCGTGTAATAGGATATTCGTTGAGCTTACCTCTTTAATATGATTTTACATGATGAAATTGTCAGATAGTACTTAAGTGTATAAATAGGAAAGCCTACCACCGCCAGGGCTTCGCCCGTAAAGTGAATATACCGTGATTGCTGGTTTAGGATGTAAAAGCACTCATCCAATTCGGACTGTTTCAAGTTTTGATGCAGCAGTCATCATCGGTGTACCGGCGTTACAGGTGGTAGGCATGCAAGTACAGGTTCCTCAATTTTGACTTGAAGCACACTGCGAGTTAGAGCAACTCTTTGACCCTTTGCAAGTCCTCTCACCTGGGTGTAGTACTTCCAGATTATCTAAAGATATTACACGTGAATATTTTCAGGTAGAGAACTATATGCCTCCAAAAGGGGGCGGTCATCTGCTACAAACACGAGCCCTCGCACATGCACGGCCTCCCACATTTGGCGACCTATAGTCCCCTACCCAACATGTATCCATAAGCACGCCTTGCTCAATCCAGAAGTTATCATATCGAAGGTTTGTGTATAAGGATATTACATCAAACGATTCCTCTACAACACTGCCTAACTCACACCTTAATTGCCGCAACCGCTCGACAAACTGTCGTTTGTTTGAGAAATGCGATAGAACTTTGAGAGCAACTGGGTTGATTTGTTCAAAAACCATGAATTTGGTCGGTAAAACCGCGTACGCAGCTTATTATGGGGCTAATTTTATAGGATTCAGGCGACATAGAGCGAAGTTTGTTAGCTGTTTTTTTTATCAGATAGAAAAGGGACCGTTTGTGAACTTTCAAGGCATCGTCCACCCAAATCCTCGATTTTGAGTTTTGGTCATTTCTAGCACCTCTTGCGCACGTTGAGTCAGAATTCACGCCTAAAATTGAACAAAAGTTTCAAATTATTGAGTTTTGGATGCCCTTCAGAACTCGCGGAAGACGAGCACTCCTTGCGCATGCGGTCAGCTGCGGGACAGCTGCTGGCTCATCGCGGGCAGATACGCTGAGGAACGCTGTGTCTAATCGGTTTTTGATCTTTGCGCATTTTAGGCGAAATCGTTGAGTGGGCGCTAGGGAGGAGCGAACGTGGCGAATCCGTCTTCCGAAGGGCTTCCGAAGCGACTTTCTCGCTTTGGAAGCAACTTCAGACAGCGCGAGTTGGAAAGTTATACCGTTAAGGGCCCCGCTACTGATAGCCATCAAAATCTCATAGACCCCATTTTGGGTGGACGGTGCCTTTAACCTTCTCAGTAACTTAACGTCGAGCCCTACAGACTTCCCATATCAGTCCATACCTTCAATTCATTTCAATTTTCTACATTGCGCTTGCAAATCATTCTCGTTAGGAAGGATGGTATACTACAGACAAGTGCAACTTTGCAATCTTCCTGTCCAACCCTTGAGGTTAAAGAAAGTAAAGACGATTTAGAATGGTAACAAATATGATATTGATTGATAACAACCTGAAAATCAAGTATAGAAAGTTTGTTTCGACGATTTAGTGTGAACAGCTCAGCAATCGCGACTGGAATTTTTGAACATCAAAACTACCGCTAAACTTCCTAAAATTTTCTCTGCAAATTTATTGACAAGAGATTCATTATTAGCTGTAAATAATGCTTTCTGATGAAAATCGCTGGAATGTAGGGCAAATACGCACCAATTCTCACCTGCGCACAAACTGGTCCATCATGTATGTAACCAACCACTATCAAGCATACAGCGACAGAGCTGGACAATGCAGAAAAGACAGCAACTTGCCTAAAGCATTATCCGCTAGGCGCGTTTCTACTTTTCACCTTGAAAACCCTACCAGAAATGCATTGGACTCTTGAGCATAGTTGCCGGCCACACGGCAATTCCGACGATTAGAATCAACCAACAGTAGTTCACCTGCAGATTTGATACATATGCAATACTTGAGATAAGAGGCACCATCTTAACTTTAGATCAAAAAAGAAGTTGAGAAGGATAGACAAGTTTTTTGCGGCTAACAAAGTGAGAACAGTTGCAAATCCAAATTGTGTGAGACATATCATGACGGCTATGAAAGACCTGCAAAAATTATTTTTTTCATAATGGAAATGCACTTGTAGCAAATGCAAAACCTCATTTTTGGCCCATTCGCACGGTATGCCATTTCACTGTATGGCTTACGGCAGTGATTACGGTACTTCGGCCATCTGAAGATCTTCATAAAGACAGGTTAATTTTTAATAAAAAAGCAGCTTGTGCCAATTACCGTTTCTGCATCATGGTCCAGTTGGATGCGAGCTGCAATCCAGTATACCCGGAACAAAGTGCACATAAAGAGATCATCAATATACCAGGAATTAGACCTTAACACGAACATGTCGATCCTAATCACCTCACATAGACAAAATAAACGCTTAATCGAGAACACTTGTGCAATGGCAATTCGTAGCATAAGTACAGGGTGAGGCAAAAGTCTGGGAGCCTAGTACTTTTTCAGATAAAATCAGAAAGAAATTGCCTAGGAACAAAAAATTCGGTGCACACATAAATCGAACCTTTACAAATAAAGCGCTGCTCTCAAATTTTAAAATTGCTTCTTCTGGCTTCAAAGCAGCCATTCAAAATCTTGGCGAGTCCGCCTATCGTGGCACGCAGACAGTCGTGATAAAATTCGTCCCACGCCTATACGAAAACTATTTCTTTCATCAGGCAAATGTGCGTTGGGATAGACTAAGCTTTTCGCTACAACGTGCCGCGATGAAACTTTTTTTGCAGTGTGTAGGAAAAATTTTGGAATTTCAATTGAATTCAAGTGTACTCGCATACTAAAAATCATGATGCGATCGCGCGAACGGGAGCGAAGAATCGTAATTTGAAAAGTATTGAAATTGCTTGATCGGTCGAACTCAAGCACATGCTTGCATAGAAGACTCATGTAAAGAATATAGCTTAGAATTCAGTGCCTGCTGTGCTCCTATAGTTTTCAAATTTATTTTGGAGAAAAATGACCATTCGCACGCGGGTAGTATTCGCAAATTTTTATTTCGCGTTTTCGAAAGAATAGTAATTGAGAAACGCAACGATCACGAAATGATAGCGCAAAGTCTCCTCTACATTGTATGCATCGAAGTGTTCTAGAATATCCACAGTATCTTTAGCTACGAAATAAGTTGTGAAGACTAAAAATTTTGATTTTCTCGTTCTGCAGAGCACTTGTTTGATAAGTCCAACTCCTACAAAAGAATATGGCAAACATTTTCAGCCAGCCAAAGTGTGATTTGTAGAGAATGATCGCAGCAATATGTGGCACAAATTTGGAGTCAAAATCATCAGTAGTTTCTTGACTTACAGCACTACAAAGTAGGCTCCCAGACTTTTGCCCCACCCTGTATATCCAATACTGTCGCTGATACCCTATTTGTCGCCTTTGATACGTTACTTTTTAGACATTGCTAATTTCAGCTTCTACCTTATTCTCGCAAAAAAAACTACCCGTAATGTTCTGGGTACGATACAAGGTAAGAATGTTTAATCGAAGTGGGTTTCAAGTAGGGATATTTTCTTAGAAAACATAAACGACTTCGAAATCTGTCTTTCTTATTTGCGATGCATTGGAGTTGTGAGGTTCAATAGAACGAAAAAATAAATGTTCTTTTGGAGAATCATCTCTGTTGAATTTTTCGACGACTTGATAGGCAGCGGAGCGTAGATACACTTTATCCGGGGGGGGGGGGTGGGGGTATATAGCATAAAGTGTTTCGATGATTATCACTGCTCTATTTGGGCTTTAGAAAAGATGTTGAGGCTCTTACTATCCTACTTGAACATCCACTTATTTTGTTCCGATGAACGCTCATAACTCTTCGTGCCTGATTGTTTGACATGATTTGAAACTTACCTACATGGGTTTTAAGAATGTGCAAATGACTTGTTTATTTTTGTCAATAATTGAAATAATTTTTTAAATTTTTTAGAAATTCAAATTAGAATTGTAGAAAAAATTTTTTCGGGCTATGGACCCACAAAAATTTTGAGCGGCACCCCAAAATTTTTTTCGAAATGGGTGGCTAACGCACGTACTTTCATGAAAAAATTTTTTGCTTCTCCCCCCGAACCGAAATCATGGGACCGCCACTGTTGAATAGTGATGTACAACACGCTCCTGGGGATTTTTACCTCATAGGTCGCTGTATAGTCAGTAATCATTGGGATTCGCTGTTACAAATCATTAATTACGAAAAACAAGAAGTAAGACTTCTCCAATGTAATTAATGATTTGTAACAGCGAATCTTAATGGTTATTGACTATACAGCGACTTACGAGTTAAAAAGCCCCAGGAGCGGGAAGTTTGCCGTGACATCACCAGTAAAATGAAAAATTTGAGTTTTCAAAAATAAAATTATGGTTTTAGATAGAATGAGAGACGCTGATTCCGAATATGTGCTCCTTTCTGCTTAAAAATCATTTTTGAGGGAGTTGTGAGGTTGCGACGCTTTCAACGCGACATCGCGTTTATTTCGAGATTTTCAAGAACGGCAACGATGGTATTGTTATGTTGCATTTTGTTTGTATTAACTCTCATTATATAACTGCGCGATAATGCGACGGAAAGAATGTTGTCTCGCAGAATTCTGTAAGAGTTGTAAATATTTTGATTTTACGAGTACAAGACGCACCTTTTCTTTTTTTAAAGCAAGCAGCTCGGCTGCTTCACTGCGCCTCGCGAAAAGATCGCTATGCTGCACGATTCGTTCTTTTAGGAGAGCAACGCGATAGAGGATTAGATTCTTAGGGTATTCAAGCTGGCCGGGTTCAGAAATAAAACAGGCTCTGTACTCGTGAAACTAGAGTACTTGATATGCTGCAGCTGTCAAGGTCACAGTAATCAGTAAACGATCCGGCTTGGTAGGTACTTGTAAAGAAATAGATTTATGAATATTAGCAGCATTTCACTCCAGTTGTCCACTTGATTAGCTCAAGTGATCTTTCGACTAATCCAGCTGCTAGATACTCATCAGCAGGGCAACGTTGGGTACTCATTGCTTTTGTGCCAAGCAGTGGCGTACCCAGGATTTCGGCTCGGGGGGGGGGGGGGAGGGGGGCGACAAAAATTTTTTTCTAATGAAGGTGCCTGGCATTAGCCACGCACTCCGAGGAAATTTTTGGAGTGCTTCTCAAAATTTTTGCGGGTCACCAACCCCTAGAATCTGGAAAAAGGGGGCATGGCGTCAGCCACGCCCCCGAAAATTTTTTTTTTATAAAGCTAAAATGAATTTTTGAAAAATTTTAAAAATTATTTTAATTATTTACAAGTGCAGACAAGTCATTTGCACAATTTTATAGCCCATATAAGTAACTTTCAAAAATTTCGCGACCCGTGGGGGGGGGGCGCCCCCCCCCCTCGGTACGCCCCTGGTGCCAAGTGATATAGTGTATTTTGATTATCACCGAAAGTATAAATAATGCAAAAAAGAACTGATTTACAGAGATTCGCACTCGTAAAAACTTTTTTGTGCAAGACTCGTTGTTAAACGGAGTCATGCATTAACTATTTTTACGCAAAATTAAGAGCTAAGTAAAATTTCAATTTGGTCCGAGTCCAAAGCTATTTGTGTTTTCCTAAGCAGTATTCAAGAAGCAAACCTGAAAAGAGGGACGGTTGCCGTAAAGTAAATAAATAAAAGTAAGTTTTCGAAAGAAAATAAGAAAAAAGAGCTATTCTAATTTTACTTGTAAAAAAATTGACTAATTATATTTTCTGATCGGTAATTTATTGTGATTTCAGCATCTCAAATCCAAATCAATCACCATCAGAAACATATGAAAATTGCTCAATAGTAATTGATGAATAAATTTGCGAGCTTCAGCATTATTGAAAAAGCAATTGTTAATTACATATAATTCAGGAATTCTAATGTGTTTCTTTTCACTTGATAGAAATATTGCAAAGAATCAAAAAAGTCTCCTTCGAGTAGTAATAGAAAAATGTTGAAATATGCCGGTTTTGATTGAAATCTTGATGGGAAACATCATTCTTTACTTTTGGAGTATCTGTCGCACCCTATTATCGATCACTTACCAGCATTTACTAATGCATTTGGCATCACTATCATTCCACCTCCGACCATGTCACCGACTACGAACACCGATGCCATTGCCCAATGTAGTCCGTGTGTGTTCTCATGCTTTTCAGGCGATCCCTTAATAATAAAATTGTTGGAACTCGAGATTGTGCTGGCGAACATGAATTAGCTGACCATGTCAATTTGTTGAACATTTTCTTTCTTAGGCGGCATTCGGGATTAGCGTCGATTCAAGATCTGAGGCAAGGCATTGGAGTGAGAAATTATGGTTTATTTAACTTTCAAGGATGTTTTGGAAGTGTAATTAAAGCCTTGAAAGTGCTTTTTAAGTTTACAAACGAAAAATGCGACAGAGAGCAGGGTTATTGGGAGTTCGTCAAGCTTATCAAAATGAATGCATATCACACTCAAACTATTGATAATCTTTGCGTGTGCCGTATGAAAAACAGGTATTCGAATGTCACCAGCATGATCTATGACCAGCGCTTCGAACTGGACCTTTTTACACAAACGATCATGCTGAGAAAAAAAACATTGAATGTGTCCACGAAGTTAGGATATCTGCTCTTTCAATACATTTGACCAAGATGTTGGAATTTTCCGGCGAAATATGGCATGGTACTATGGTAATGAAGAAGGTAGGAGGGAGGGGAGTGGGGAGACAAGAGCATCAACTTTGTTTTATTTACCACGAGCTGGCATCCCGTGTTCCATCCCGTTCTGAAGCCTATATCGTGCTTGATCTTTTATGTAGTAAAACTTACTATCCTTATAATTCTGACTCGTCTTAAATTCGCCTTCTATGGTAACTACCATACCTTGATGACCAGCAGATCATGAGCTTTACCCTCATCCTTTATGACTTTGGGAAATGTGCACAGACACACTATTTTCTGCTCTATATATAGAGATTACTGTTCATACATTATGAAGTGCATCATATACCAGCAAATTCGGAATTGGATAGGTTACACTTTATGATACATCACTTTGAGATGCCAATTTTTCACATTTTCCTTCAGAATCATCATCAATCATCATTTACAGTTGTGATACAGTCTAATTCTATAAAAACTGACTCTACTTCCATGGCTTTTGAAGATAAGCAAGCTGGAGTCAACCACGTTCTCCGGTGTTTGGCATACACACATTCGGTGCGTAGAATAACACATTGATGGCATTAGCGAAAAAATCCTGGGGACTTTTTCAATGAAAAACGATGTTCTTGCAACATTTGCGTTTATATTAGCCAGTCAAAGTCAACCCCTACTCTCACGCAGCAGGCTTACAAAATTCTGTCTTCAATAAAGACACATACTCTTGCAAGGCTAGTTTTTAAAAAAAAATCACCTTTTAATTTTCTAAGTTTTGCTCACAACCTTTGACTACATTGCAAATTACAACGGAGATTGTAAATTGCTTTGGGTTTCTGGCCATAGTTTTGAGAAATTCCTTGAATTTACACGTGGAAGTCAGGTCAGTTTTTGGGAGATTCCTACCGCTAGAAACCCATGGTCAAACAAATGATGTTCAATAAAATTGTGGAGTGATGCAAATGTACATTTCCAGAGTCCACTTCCTTTTTTGGAGCATGATTTTTCAAAAATTTAATGAAATTAGACCCCTTCTCCTTTTTTGAATCATTTCGTTATAAAAAAATTTGTTTCGAAGAGCAAAAATAACTATTCCGATTCTCGTTGATTTGCGCTTTTCGAAAATGCTTCACATCCATACATAAATTTCTTTGTAACATTTCTACAAAACGTTAGAAAGACCGAGTGACCTGAAAAATTATGTGGAACTGTTCGATACAGCGAAGGAACAGAATGATAATCAAACATACAATTGAACGCAATACACTAGATTCCGGTGTTATGTAAAAATAACCGTTACCTCAAAGATAGCTTTCTTGTCTAGCCTTAAAAATTCAGTGAGTGCATTCATGTGTGTCAGTCGACTACATAAAGCTTAAGCGAGGACCCAGTAAATTTTTCATGGGTTTTCCGTTGCGTACGAATGATTCATTATAACTTCTATTACTGAACCGCGAGCTATGGAGAGTCTGACTAGTCACCATGTAGGGCTAGCTTCAATCTATCAATCAATCTGATACTGGCTTGTACAGATTTGTGTTATCCGCATTTGGGGGTGTGACTATTAATCTCTGGATAGGTAGTCCCTCACCACTTGTGAACGTTGGCTCTAATGTTTGTTGAAGCAGCTTCACCGATGTAGGCTGAAGGAATGCATGTTTAGAGCTTGCTTGCTCGGATCTATTGCTGTTTGCTTAATCATATCAAAATAAGAACGAAGAATGATCAATGGTTATTTATAAAATTCAAATCGGTATTTTATCGCAACTACACATATACAAAGGCCAGTAGTAAACCCCAATCAGGGCATCTCTCTTGAGGCGAACCGGAGTTGATCTCATCGCGCCTCAGCACATTGCCAGGGGAGCGATTGATCTGGAGCAGATCACTTACTGGACGTTCGCGTTTTCAAAGGTGGAACGTTTCTGCCATTTGTGCATTATTAGTCAAATGGAAAGAATAATGCGTTTTAAGCGACAGAGCCGTGGTTCGAGTGCGGCTAGCGGCACCATCTTTGCTACTTGGCCTGGCGACCTTTGATAGCGGCCGTTATCGAAAAATCGATGATAGCATCTGTCAGAGATTTCACCTAGCAAACAACGAGATAAAACAAATCTTATATATAAAGCTGAATATCTGTTTGTCTGTCTGTCTGTATGTCTGTATGTCTGTAAGTGTGTACGCATGTTCCAAATAGAAAATTCCATTTCTGAACCGATGGGGACCAAACTTGGCACACATACACTTCGGGCCCCGGCGGGTGTCATAGGCTTCTTTTCGTCATCGATCGATATCGATTTTATCGATTTTTTGCAAAATTTGAGCTACGGCGTCGCGCAATCAGCTGTTCATCGATCCTTACTCACTTAGGCGCCCGAAATTGTGCAGTTTTGGGAGCTTTGCACCGCAAAAGAACATCAGCTGCGGTGTTTCGTAAGTTACTCGGGAGCAACTTACGGAGGTTTTCTCTGTGCTCTCCTCTTTAGCACAGTATTTACCTTATGTGGTGGCCCGGCTCATCTCCGATGACTCGGTCGAGAGCTGATTTCCCTGCCGGGCTTCATCTGAAGCTCACCGGTAGGGTGACCTTGCATACTTACACCACGGAAAAGTGGGCAGTCCTCATCTCACCCGACAAAGCCTCATATGAGGGCCTCAAGGGAGATCATCTCCCGTGACCGAGCTTTATTACAGGCCAAAGTGTCCCAAAAATGTGCCTACTGTTTCATTGTTAATAATTCTCTTGTAATGAAGTCTTTCGAGAAGCTTTAGGCAACGTTTTGTAGAGCTAGCTTCACCTTAGATTTACAGCATGGAGCAAATCGCCGATCGCTCTTCATTACTGTAGGACAACGGTAGAAACTCCAAGCATGGTGTTACTGTGAAAAAAGGTGCCGTTTCAAAAATTTTTAGAAGGAGGTGAAAAATTGTGCAATAGGGTTTCCATGGGCGCTGAGTTCAATACTCAAGTATGTACAAGATTGCAAAGCTATCTAAACGATGTAACCGCACTTTTTTGGGAACGTTGAAAAAACGGCCGCTACTGCTTATCTCGCGTAACTTTTTAATGAAGCATCATGATAAATTGCGAACTTCACACTTGGAATCGACAAACCTGATCAGCCCAGTGTGAAAGTTTTCAGGCTGTATTATTTGCTTTCTGAGGCAAAATATGGCCTTTCATAGCTCAAAACCCTCTTCAGTGTTCCTACCGTAATCCTACAGTGATAAATTGCAACCGATGATCCGCTTCGTACTGTAGGTCTAAGTTGAGCCAGCTTTACAAAATGTACCCAAAGCTTCTCGAAAGACTACATAACAAGAAAGTTATTAACACTCAAACATTAGGCACATTTTTTGGACACCCTGTATAGGGCATACCAACCACCATCGGTCGTGGGTACACCAAGGATTAGGCATCGCGCGCGTGCCGCGAGCGAAGGAGATTGCACTCCGAGCGCGGAAGGTGATATACATCACGCACACTTACGACTGGGAGCAATTTCTTTTGCAGTTTCGGTTGTTTTTCTTTTTCTCATGCAACTGTTCTCCTCCAAGGTACTTGCCTTGTGTCTATAGAGTTGATTTTAGTTCATGGGGTGACGTAGTTTTGAAGATAAGCTTTGGAGCAATAACACTGCATGCTGTTCTCTTCTCAAAAAGACATTTTCAGTTTACTTATGTTATGCTTATGTTCCAGGTGCGGAGATGCAAACGTATTCCCATCGCTATCGAAAAAGCAGGGAGGAATTATTTATATACTGAACGTTATTTATATATTGAACTCAGTTGAAAATCAAACATTACAGTCATATCTTTGATACAAAAACAACAATTCTTACCTGCTTTTTCGATAGCGATAGGAATAGCTTTCATCTCCGCACGCCTGAAACATAAGCATAAACTAAAAACGTCATTTTGTCAAGAGGACAGCATGCAATGTTATTGTTCCGTAGCTTACCTTCAAAACTACGTCGCCCCATGAACTAAAATCAACTTTATAGAAAGGCAAATACGTCGGTTAAGAGCAGACGCATGGGAAAGAAAGAAAAACAACCAAAACTGCAAATGAAATTAATCGCAGTCGTGAGTATGCGCAATGTATGTCAGCTTCCGTGCTCGGAGTGCAATCTCCTTCGCTCGCGGTACGCGCGCGATGCGTAATCCCCGGTGTACCCACGACCGATGGTGGTTGGTATGCCCTATATGTATAACGATAGTGACTACGATCACTAGTCAGGACTCGCATCGCGCACAAAGGCATTTTGCTGCGAATACGTGACTCTATTCCAAAAACAACATCACGCCAAGTGTCCTGGCGAAAGCAGGCTCTTGGACTGGTGGATGTCGTAAAGCCGCATCGCTTCGCACTGTGAGTCATGACCCGTTCCTGTTTGCAAACGATTCTTTCAAAACGGGTAGAAGTTGATAAGATGACATATTGTCAGCTTCTGAAATGGATGGAAGATTTGATAGGTACATGTCGTGTTTACTTCCAGAGGTCTCATTGGTCAAAACAAGAGTAATGCTCTGAAGATGTTCAGAAATTATTCGTTTGCAAATTGGCTGTTATCGACGATATGGCACAAAGAAGGGTTCTCCGGTAGTGGCACTCAAAGTTTCTTGTAAAGAAAGTATATTCAAACACGGGCGCAGAATCCTTCCGGATCGATATCACTGACTGTGATATTGCGAAATGGACCGCAACAATTGACACTGCCCGTGCTGGTGGATACGAATGGTAATCCTGCAACATTCGCGGATGTTTTCTACTTAGGACCTCGTATGTCAATACCGTTTTTGAGATACTGTATATAGCAAGGTGCGGAAACCTCGTAACTGGTCAGTTCCTTTATTGAAAATACGGTGGCAACACCTCCTCCCAGTATTCCGAAAGCTAAATTTCTGCAGCTTTTTTGAGACGAAATAAAAAATAAAAATAAAAATAAAAAGTTAATATAAATGAAAATGTAAGCCTACTTAATGAAAGGCAATTGAGTGCTAGGATTGTTTTTGGCACGTATGTAAACAGCCTAAATATAGTTTGGTTCTTTCGAAGAAATAACTTTTCAAGATGAAAAAAATGAAGTTATGAGTAGCAATGCTTCAGTTTTCTAAGAGCATTTATTAAAATCACTCACTCCGCAAAGTTGGCTGTGACGTTATCTTTACCATCTTTATCTTCTCCATTGATTGAGATTAGTTCTCTCTTTTCATCGGATGCTCTCAAAAACAGATAGAAAACGCTTGGCAAAATCATTGTCATCAATGACATTGTTGTAGCGCCAACCTGAAACAGAGGCCTAATCGCTCAAAGCATCTTGTAAATTGTGCTGCAAAAAAATAATTACCAAGTCCATCAGTGGGCCGAAATTCGGAGCAGAAAGTGCTACGAACATGAGTAACCAAAATAGTACTGAACGAACAAGAAATCTTTGCCATCCAAAGCCTAAAACTCATTTTTCTGTCTGTCTGTAAGTGTCCGTTGTGCTTTTTTTAAAGTAGTTTTAAAGTCATTTCGAAACTTTTCATTTTTCACGGATTGCTTACATGCGTTTTGAAGTCACTTCTTCCACCTATAGGCAGTGTCTGGGTAAAGGAGGTTATGACTATAGTGCTTTGTATAAGTATATGCTCTTGGCCCGCAGTTCGCAAAGCCATACCAAATACCACCATAAGCAAGAAAAGCAAAATTTAGAATGTTTACACCTGATCGGGGAGTTTGCCTTGGCGGATTTCCCCCTCAGCGTTCGATTGCGCATGCAAGCACATTCGAGATCACAGAACCCCGAAACTTCCCTAAGGTAGATGGGCTTTAGCGTAACATGTAAGCCCAGACAAGCAAGCTAAACAGTTATTGTCTAGAAGTTATCTTAAGGGTTCCCAAACTTTTCCTATCGGTTGATCTCGTCGTTTGGCTTTGCGACCTTCAACTGGCAGTTACAAGTGGCAAAAATCCATTTTTGATATTTATCTCACACAGCCTTCCAAAGTTGCTAATGCTAAAAGGAGAGTATGTGACATTTGAGCAGATGTTGCTCCAAGTATTGCTTAGAATTAGTACCAATCCTAGGCAAAGAGCTTACTTTCGCAAGTGACTAGTTGTTGTTTTGTTTGCAAATTTATCTGTGTAAAATTTGTAAGTGGATGAAAGGAAGAACACAGACATAGCAAAAATGCTAAAAATGAATTTTTTGTATCTTTGAATTTTTGATTTAAGCAAAAATTTGCGATTTTTATATATGAATTCCTGTTGAGCTTACATTAAGTTACGGCTTTATCCAATTTGTAACCTAGGTCTATTTTTCAGGAACATTTACTTTTTGTAATAATGTCATATATTAGGTTGATGCATAATTCCTGCACCAAAATAGGTACAGACCGCAATAACTCGAAGTAATCCTATATCCCAAGTAGGATTCGATATATCATTTGATAGCGCAAACCTAGCTCTACAAGAAGGTGCTCAAATATCTATACCAGCTTTAATCCACGCGAAGTTTTGAGCCAAAAACTGAAAAAAATCATGCGTCCGAAAACCTTAAGACAGATCTTAAAAAAATTGTAACTTCGTTCAAAAAGCTCATACAAATTTTCTTTCTTGCTCACGCGTAGACGTTCCACGTAAGACATCTATCTATACGGTTGCTGTATTTTTTCTCAACTAGCCGATGAGAAAACGAAGTTTTTCATGTTTTTTTCCAAAACAATGCTGAGATGTTCTAGCACTGACAGTTGTATACTATAGGACCTTAGAAGCGTGAATGTGAATCTTCAGCTCTTTAGAGCAGCTGGTTTACGAGAAATATCGGATTTTTAGCAACTAGGCAAGAAAAATTTGGATAAGGAGAGCTAGATTCGTTATTTCTCGCGAACTAGCAGTTCTAGAAGGCTGAAAATGTAAAGTTTCACTGCTAACGGCATGTACTATACAACTGTTGATACTAGAACTCAGCACTAATTTGGCAAAAACATGAAAAACTTCAAAAAACTTCGTTTTTTCATCGCCTAGTTGAGAAAAAAATACAGCAACCGCATAGATAAATGTCTTACGTGGAACGTCTACGCGTGAGCAAGTTGAACGAAGCAATTTTTTTGAAATCTGTCTTAAGGTTTTCGGACGCATGGTTTTTTCAGTTTTTGGCTCAAAACTTCGCGTGGATCAAAGCTGGTGTAGATATTTGAGAACCATCTTGTAGGGCTAGGTTTGCGCTATCAAACGATATATCGAATCCTACTTGGAATATAGGATTACTCCGAGTTATTGCGGTCTGTACCTATTTTGGTGCAGGAATTATGCATCAACCTAATAGTAATACGAGCTTTTCTTTTAACTGAAGAGTTCCTACCAATTTGCATGTACTTGTTGGCTACTGATTATAGGTATACTCCCTATCAAATAACTTCCTATCAATTACTGAAGAAAGCAAACTGACAACAAAATTCAGTAGAGACCTTATTAGCTTTCTACAAATTCAGATTTCATAAAAATCATTGGCCCGTAGTAAACATCCTCTCGGCTCAGATGATCTGCGCTGACCCCCTCAGAAAAGATTCGTAAGCTAATCTTACAACCCCCCTTGCTACAGTGCATTGAGAATGGACGATGAGCTGACAGCCAAGGGGCCGGTCAGCAACCGCAATGAGCTGCGCTGCCTGCCCTAAGTTAAGCCGTCGCCGTCGGCCTGGCTTACGGAGACAGCGTGTCTGCAAGGAAACAGACACAAATCCCGTAAGTTGTTCGTGAGTAACTTACGGTACACGTCAGCTGGCTAATTCTGCGGACGACAGTGCCCGATACTGCACAAATAAGGTGGCATCCGGATGGGATGATCAATGAACAGCTGATCGCAGCAAGAATGGGATATCAGTTTTTTTCTACATATTTGGCTATGTCGGTCAAATCTTCATATTTTTCGAAGAATGCTTAAATAGAAATCAAACTCTCTTTTTATCTTCTAAATATCATGATTTTTTTGTGGTTGTTAATGCTAAGATATTGTATCCGGTTTATGTCTCCGTTTGCGCAGCAGAGACAGCACCCACCATCGATTTTCTTTTGATAATGGCTGCTATCAAGGATTGCCCTGGCAATATAGCAAAAATGTCGGCACCTGCCGGTCGCGAACCCTGCTGCTGCTGCATGTATCACAAAAGCTTTAGCCCATTTGACCAAACCTGCACAATCTCCGGACCTGTTTTTTTATCTTTGAGAACACGCAGTTTCCTTCATGCCTACACGATCCGCATCCGGATCGATGGCTCGCTTGACACCGCGCTGAGGCGCCGTAAGGCCAACCTAGGCCCGACTCAGAGGAGATGCACTGAGGGGGGGGGTTTACAACGGGCCATTATCTCGAATGACAAGAAAGTTGCCTGCAAATTGTATACTTAGTTGCATTTTTTGATGAAACTTTTTACTGTTTAATCTTGCCGACCACGAAAATGATACTCAATTTGCCTTGTAAGCTTGGAAAACCCATGGTATCTTTTTACCGTGACCGGCAACTGTAACAGCTTTAAACACTGCTGTGCACGTTTGACTCTTTAGTACTGATGAATGAATCCGAGTTGTCTGCAACTCGTCCGCTCGGTGGTGCCACTCAATCTTACACTTCTTTCACAGCTTATTGGGTCGGGTATTATTTTACTCTGCCCTCTCCTGTCAATATCTCCTGCTGTATGTGCTTAATTAAGCCTGTGCTATTCAGTTCTGCTTCCAAGCCATAAAACCTCTTAACTCACAAGTTTTCGGGAACTGTATAGTTCCATTTTGCTATTTAAAAGCAAACTGCTGCGCACAATTGTGACTTCATCACAATTCACTCAATGCGATAGCTTTGATATGCCATATGAAGAGGAAGTTGGGAAGTTGCAAAACTTGTTGTCATCTATTAAGTTGTGTAATAAGTCCTGTCCCATTTTTTCATTCGGTTTTTTCAGTGTTCTGCATGGAGTTCTGCAAAATGTATATATGCATTTAAAATCTCTGAGTCTGCTCTACCAAAACCTTCACTTTAGTCTCCTTCATCAATGGAGTTTGAAAAGTTTCCCAGCATCAAGTTTGAAACCAAAAAGGAAAAATATCCGTTTTCGACAACTAATATGAGTCAACCCCCCGTTCCGGTCAGAATGCTTACAAAACAGCTCTAAAAATCTGCTGAGCGTAAGAAAAGAACGTTATAGCTTTTGCAGAGGGATAATCCAGAAAAAGCAGAAGTGATCGTCTTTGGCTATAAAATCACCGAATTTGTAAGTTAGTTACTCAAAAGTTCAATGTTTGGAGGACACACAGCTTAAGTAGACGAGACGGCGAACATCGCCGCAGTTTGCTTTTCCGACTTCTGAAAAAATAGCATTGAAAGGTAGGTAGAAGGGAGGGAGCAAGACAAACAACGCAATTACAACCGTAAGAGTCTAGTAGGTTGTTCTGTTTGTTGCCAAGCTTGTTGAATCAAAATTAACAATGGAAAGCGGGAAAATTTGGAGAAAAAAAAGATGCCGAAAATAGATTTTTCGCCTCATCGGATTTTTTCTTCTAAAGCCAATAATCGTTTTCAATATCCTGCCAAGTTGAGGGATGAAGCATAAAATTTGCAGAACAGACTTAGAGCTTTCAAAAGCATATACACTTCATTCCAGATAGGGTAATTATCATTGATAAAAAGTCGAAAGAAAAAACGGGACGGAACTTATCACACAACCCTAATAGTATTTGGTTGGTATCTTTCAAAATAAATCAAAAATTTGTAACTTGACAGTCGTCCCATTATTCTGTTTTTTGTATGGAAAGTCATTGAACTGCATAACTTACCGGAGGCTAGAAATGCCTATGACGCTTCTTTTTTATCTTCTTCCATGTAAAGACTTACAATCGTCAAAAATTTAGCTTACCTAGAAGGAGGTAAAGCTTAATTAAAGATCGTTTTCGATATGGCAACATTTCAAAAAATTGTGACTCAATAAAAAAAACTCTAGTATATCCTCTACGGCTCTATTCCTAAAACCTATTTCTGATGGAAAGCTGCTCGGTGCACAGAGGCATGATTACCTACCTTATGGAAAAAAATCTACGCAGATTGTTTGAGATGTCATAAGATGTTTTTCTTTTTAATGTTGACAAAGTCCGTTCATCATAGTATTCTCACTTAGGCATGTTGAAATTCTCGTATCGCTGTCGAAGGAAGGGAAAGAGGCGCTCAGATTACTCTTTTTATGTGCCCTAGCTTTTGATCATCATGCCCTGTTTTTCATTTGAACTATTTCTGCGCTGAAATGTGTTTCTGCCAATTCCGCGATTGGCAACTAAATCTTGCTGGTTTTCCAAAAAGGTAATACACTAACTTTCCGATATTTTGAGTAGTTCTTCAACTTGTTGAGTCATGGGAGAGAATGCAATAACGATAGCGGTGATGACGTGAATTGTAATCATAACATTTACCTTAAGAATTCAGAACATTCTGGAACTGTTATGTATATCCATAAATTAGTTACGTCTAATTGTCACAGTACTAACTGTTTGCTGCACCCATCGCAGTTGTATGGAATGAATAACAGCTTCACCAACAGTTCCTCCATAAACAAGATAGCCACCAACAGCGATCGATAGGTAGTAAAATGTAATGACTTAAGAGAGGAGTCAGTTTTTTCATAATTTTTAGACCAAGAAATCTTACGAGTATATGCCACCCATACAGATCTTCCAAACAAACGTGGCTTTTTCATGTCATGCTGCAAGGTAGGAAAAGCACAATGGCCACCAAAAGCAAAGACCATTGTTCCGTAAGCCATGAAGAAATGTTGCCAATCAAACGGCCGTTGATTAGATTCCTAGCAAAAGGCTGAGAATGACTTAGTTCACCTTCCTTCAAATTGCTGTCACCAGCACCTTCAAACAGACAGGCGCATCATGGAAGTATCCAACGTAAAGTAGACATATAGCGATGGAGCTAGACAAAGCAGAGAAGACACCCACTTGCCTGAGAATAGTAAGCATCTGATTTTGTGAATCCGTAATGTCATATTTAATTGTTGAAACTATGCATACCAGAAGTGCATAGGACTCTTCAACATAGTTATTGGCCAAACAACGAGACCAATGATAAGGATCATCCAGCAAAAATTTATCTAAAATGGCAGCTTGAAGATGCATACTCTTCGCAATATTCTTACCTTCAAGTCAAAGAAGAAGTTTAGGAGTACTGATGTGTTCTTCGCTGCCAAAAGTGTTAATACACTTATGAAGCCAAATTGCGTAAGACATACCATCAGAGCAATAAACGATCTAAGACCAAATTGTGTATAGCGGTAATGTGTGTGTTCGCCAGTAAAGTGCACCTCATGTGCGAACCGATGGCACGATAAGCTATCTCACCGTACGGCTTTCGACAATAGTTACGGTACTTCGGCCACCTAAAAGCCGACTTATTTTACTTCAAATCGGCAATGATTATAAGTTTTCAAGACTTCTGTCGGATGATGCTTAGAGTCAGTTTGCCGCTTCTGTCCTGCGGACATACACCGGTGTTCTTTGATAATCTTTCATGAAAGGATGGCATGGTAAAGAGTTTTCTAGTAGAAAGAGCACGTAGGGAAGCCATGAAGCCATTAACAATAATAGGCCCATACGTTGACTGAAGTTAGATATTTCTCAGAATCATAAAGGACATCTTTTCGGCTTCATATAGAAATAGCATTATAGCATATAGCATTATCTAGATCTGTCCTAGCTTTTGGGAGATATCGTCGTTTCTTAGAACAGTCTTGCTTGATCGATCGACCAATAAATGGGACACTTTTTTAATCCAGCGCAAGTGCAATGCGAACTAGCTTGTTATGAAAAAATAAAAAGTGCGAGAAAAGTGCGAGTACTGAGGGATGTTCGAAGGGATGAAGCGGCGAGCTTTTGCAGGATAGTGATACTTCAACGGTCGTTGGCCAAAAAATGACGAAGTTGTAGCTGTGAATTACCTCCTCTGCAACATTGTCCAGCTCCACGCTAACTGCAGACCCGTATAACCCGAGAAAAGTGCACATAAGCATATTAGTATTATTCCAGGAACCAAGCCTAAATAAAATCCTTACTTTATTGCTAATGTTTTACAGTGCTTACTTTGAAAAAAAAAACGTTTTGTGCGCTCACTTTCATACCTTCCATCCTTCATAATCACTTGGTAGCAGTGGCGGACCGAGGGGTGGGGGCGCTCCCCCCCCCCGAGAATGAGTCGCGAAGTTTTTGAAATTTACTCACATGGGTTATAAAAATGTGCAAGTGACTTGTCTATTCTTGTAAATAATTAAAATTGCTTTTAAAATTTTGTGAAAATTCAAATTAGCCTCGCAAGAAAAATTTTTTTGGGGGCGGGCCCGCAAAATTGTTGAGAAGCACCCCGAAAAATTTTTCGGAGTGCGTGGCGTTAGCCACGCACCTTCATTTGAAACAAATTTTTGCCGCGCTTCTCCCAGTTCGAAATCCTGGGACAGCCACTGCTTGGTAAATATTTCTTCAAACTTAATAGCTCAGAAGAAGCACTTATTCAACATGGTACAATCAAATTATGTTAAAAAGCTGCATTGTCTCTTTCTCTTCAAATTTAATAGCTCAGAAGAAGCACTTATTCAACATGGTACAATCAAATTATGTTAAGAAGCTGTATTGTCTCTTTCTCTTCAAATTTAATAGCTCAGAAGAAGCACTTATTCAACATGGTACAATCAAATTATGTTAAAAAGCTGCATTGTCTCTTTCTCTTCAAACTCAATAGCTCAGAAGAAGCACTTATTCAACATGTTACAATCAAATCACGTTGCCGTAAAAAAAGCTGCACTGTCGTCGTTTCGAGCGGAAGGTAGTTATTTTCTGCTTGGACAATAGTTCATGGAGCAAATAACCATTTATTTTAGCTTTACCGTCTTTTTCAACTACTTATACTCTTACGCGCGGACCATGTTTGTGACTTTTTTCTTACATGATTGACACAATAACTTTTGATTTTCTGTAAGTGTGACTTTGCCGGCACTCTGACTTTCTATGGCTGAACTACAAAAATTCCTTTGGTTTTTTTCTTCAAATGCGATGCCATACGGTTGTGACAGTGGAAAGTAATTCTCGGCGAATTCGGGGATGTCGGCGAATTCGCCAAAATCGGCGAAAAACAAAATCGCCGAGAATTTTCACATTCCAAAGTCATAACTGTTTGACTGCATGTGATGTAAATCTTCAAATTTCCGCTCAAATGGATCATCAATGTGCTGACAACAATTTTTACCTTGTTTTGCTGCTGGTGGCACATTTTAGGGGTGAATGACATCCGCGAAAATACAAGACTCTCAAATTTGAGAAAAAATTCACGAGAACGTGAGTTTGTAACCTCATAATCTGACGAAAAGTGCAGATAGGGGCCTGTGCTAATCACAGCCTGATAGCGTTCTTTACAAAGATTCTAATTTACAAAAATATGCAAACAAGTTTTTTGACAGACAGGCGAGAAGTGCCAACGAATCTTCAACCTTGCGTGGTTTAACTAAATTTATTCCATTTGAAACTTCACTGTTGAACTTTTTAGCGCGAAATAACTAGAATTTTCGTAAACAGTGGGTTTGAAAACTGCTGTGAGTGGAGTTTCAGGTGAATTTAAGATTATCAATATTTCAGCCAAAACCAGTGGCGAGGTCAAGAGCGAAAATCAAGAAAAATCAAATGGCGCCATTTTCTTAGAAAAATTGAGCATAGAGGTTATCCGACTGCTGATTACAAAAAATACATCTGCCCCCTGTGATAGCTTCATTCTGTAGAGTTAACGGTGGCTAAATTTCAGGTAAATCTCGATTTTATTAAAGTTTGCTAGCCATTCTCGCCTTCACTTCAAAAGATACTACTTTGCACCATGTCCAGCTGCTAAGAAACTCACGAACCTATTGTAACGAATAATGTTTATTTTAGCTCTCTATCTACATTGAGTATTGGATTGCGCCCTAACAAAATCTCGTTTGCAGAACACGAAGACCTTAGATCAAAACTAAATGACTTTCTACCCATATATTGGGTATATACAATACCACCCACATAACTTACAAAATTTCCGTGAATGTCGCGAAATTCCGAAAATTCCGCGCAAATACGGGATTTCCGCGAAATTCCGGGAATGTCGCGAAGTTTCGCGAAATTTCGGGAATTTCGCGGAATTCTCGAAATTTCGCGACATTCACGGAAATTTTGCAAAATCTGTGAGCGGTATTGTATAGTAACATCATAAGTGGCGGGGCTTACAGTTCACAGCTAAAAAGCGAAAAATCGATATTTTGGAGGTTAGTGAACCACCAAATCCTCAAAAAGTGATAGAATCGGTATTCTGAGGGCTGCGAAATCCCGGAAATCGACAAAAATCGATAAAATCGATATCCTGGAGGTTTATTGACAAAAATCGATATCCCAAAAATTGGCAAAATTGATAAAATCGATATTTTGAAGGTTGCGAAATCCCAAAAATCGACAAAAATCGATATTCTGAGGGTTATGAAACCCCGAAAATTGACGAAAATCGATAAAATCGGTATTTTATAGGTTGCGAAATCCCGAAAAATCGGTAAGATGAGCGAAAAACTAATCGAAAAATTCGAAAGACTCTATAATAAGCTCATTTCCAGTGCTTTTATACAGCTGAAACTCCTCCAAACAAGTTTCGCCCACTTTCCACTTCGCATCACGACCAAAATCAAAGAAAATAAGCGAAAATAGGAAAATATAAGCAAAATCGCGCTTTTTACACCCTTTCTAGCTGTTTTCAGCCCCTAACCAGGTTCAGGTAGCCGCCGGGTAACTATCACACGCGCTGCAGTAATAAAGAGAAAGGGAAAAATAAGGGGGGGGGGAGAAAGAGGAGAAATTGCGAGAGCCTGAACCAAAAAAAAATCCGGGAAGTTTTATAGATGGGCTCCCGCAGACGGAGCCCTTGGATTTTTTCCGAATTATACATGGTGTCCCCTCGAATTCAAACTGAAACATGGCCATCCCTGCCTGTCATGCCTACTCTCCACGGAGATAAAATTCAAAAATGCATCATCGCCGCCTCCTACGCTGAAGCTATGGGCACGAGCACCTCTAGAAAAATAGAGCTACTAAAAGTACATATCAATGACCACATGAGATTACCGCAATCCTACAATTTGCAGAGATATAAGAGCGCAAACTCGCCCTTATTGACAGATTTCCCAAGTTCAGCAATTAGGCACTTTTATTGGAAACTTATTATTCTACGACTTCCTGTCCAATAAAACAAACTTCAGCCTCATATCTATAATACTCGCAAAGTTATTAGCCCCCCAACATGCATGCTCAGGCCATAAAATCGGCTCCTTCAAAGTTGCCTCGTAATTCCTCCAAAAATCATGTTAGACACTTCTCTCGCACCTGAATACGCCATATTTTTGTAGCCTCCCATATGCAGTTTGAAGTAAGCATCGCTCGCACAGGAAAGACTAATAAATTGGTAAAACAATGATTTGAGGCTGCAGATGACCGCTATAAACCCTGTGTAAATTTTTTCATCCAAATCTTTATGCTGAAGTAATCTGTAAGCTTTTCTACGCTTTTCTACACTTAGGACAATGCCATACAGTTGTGACAGTGGAATGTGAAAATTCTCGGCGAATCCGGCGATGTCGACGAATTCGCCAAAATCGGCGAAAAACGCAAAATCGCCGACATCGCCGAGAATTTTCACATTCCAGAGTCATAAGTACTATATTCACTTCTATTTCTTGATACAAAAACGTAACCTCATTGATTTGTGTACCTGCATTTGCCAATGCATTTGGTAATCCTACCACTCCACCTCCGACCATATCACCAACTACAAACACTGATGCCATTAACCAGTGATATCCATGTAAATTTTCGTATTTTTCAACCAGCGTCTAAAGAAGCAAGCTGAGAAAGCGCTGAGGAAAAGTATAGTATTAGTAAAACAAGCTGCAAAGGATGTCTTACCATTCCAGTTGGGCGTACATCGGCTCCCTTAGACTTCATCCTTGGTTGGGAACGTTAGTAGGCCTTGCGCTAGTAGCTTTGCAGAAATATTCGTTCTAAAACGTTCTTCTCTCAAACATCGGAGTGCATTCAAAGTAACGAACAGATTTCAGATGTTAAAACGATAGGAGAAGCGGAGGTTATATGTTGTGAACAAAATATGTAGCTGAGTGCTAAAATGTATATGGCAGGGTGAAGATGAGCGTCAGCAGCAATTCCATCTATATTCTTGTACCTTTGACTTCGATTACTGAGCTGCTGCCTGCCTCTTTTATAGCGGAAAATATAAGAATCCATAAGATGATGGTTATACGTACAGTTCTCATCTATTCTGCTGTCGTGAATATATGAGGATGAATCACTACACTGAATTTGCCGGAAGAACACATTACAAAAATGACATCATAACAATTCAAAAGGGCAAGGATACTTCTAATGCATGATTTGAAACGACTTTGCCAAACACTGAAATTGATTTGTCAATATCTTTTCCGCTGCCGTTATTCATGTGCACGACATAATTGACAGTCACGACAGGCTGAAAAACGTCTATGTCAAAAATACTATCCACAAACTCGTTCGTTTTCGAGCAAAAACACTTCTACTGTGGTTGCAGCCCATGTAACCATAAGGTAGCAATCAATAAGGACTAGTCATAATGAGTTTCGCATCTTGACCTCTGAGTCTTAAAGGAATCAAAGTGAGACCTGATGGTAAAAAGCACTGGAGCTCCAAATAAATAGCATAATACATCCGCTCCAATGAGTAATTGCTGTTGGCTCTCATTGTGATTCCGCACACGAGTCGTCAATGAATTGTAATGCAAATTATTATGATTTCAAAGGGAAAAGAGAAAATTTCAAAGACTATTCTTCAAAAATTCTAAGGTCACCTCGTATGGGGATCACGAATAACAAGAAAAAGACAAAGTAGATTTGCCTATCTTTTATGTTAAAAGATAATTGTGCTGCTCAAAATTTGTCCTCACAATCTTTTGATGGACACGGCAAAAGGTAAAACGTAATGCTTAAGATCGAACGTATAAGGTAATATGTAGTACAGTTGCCTCGTTGTTCTATGTATCGTTTGACTTCTTTGCATGCCTACTGGAGATGTGTACTCCAATTCTGTCCGTACCTGTCTACTTTTTGCTTGACAGATCACCTGTGTGGTGTGTGGCTGTGATGATAAAACACACCTGTGTCCAGCAGTGGCGTACCCAGGATTTCGGCTCGGGGGGGGGGGGCGCGGCAAAAAAATTTTTCTAATGAAGGTGCGTGGCGTTAGCCACGCACTCCGAAAATTTTTTTGGGGTGCTTCTCAAAATTTTTGCGGGGCCCCAACCCCTTAAATCTGGAAAAAGGGGGCGTGGCGTTAGCCACGCCCCCGAAAAAAATTTTTTTATAAGGCCAATTTGAATTTTTAAAAAATTTTAAAAAATATTTTAATTATTTACAAAAATAAACAAGTCGTTTGCACATTTTTATAACCCATATAGGTAACTTTCAAAAATTTCGCGACCCATTCTCGGGGGGGGCGCGCGCCCCCCCCCCCCCCCCGCCCCCCCCCCTCGGTACGCCACTGGTGTCCAGTGACTCAAACTGCCTCGCCTCCTCAAAGCCACGACTTTTTTAGAACCTTTCTAGGATAACGGGCAAAGCACATCGTGGATTATCTTTGCCCGTGCTCGGAACACTTTTTTACTGTGTAAAATTTTGCGAGCCAATGGATATGGCGTTGATTATATTGAAGAAATCCCATTAAGTTACTCATTTTCGATGAGGTATTTTCTTTACCTTGAAAGGTGAATGTTATGTTAAGCCTAAACGCAAGTCCCACTCTATTTCAATGCGTGTATCGCTGTACAACGATGTTTTGCAAATTTATATAAAGTTCGAAGAAAAGAGGGCGTGGCGTTAGCAAAGCCGAAAAATTCTTGCCTAAACGCGATTTAAATCTCTGCTAATATTTTAGAAATTTTGTCAATCACTTATAAGTGTAAAGCACGTCATGTAATTGTGTACGAAAAAAAATCAGTTCATATGCTTTCTTCTACAGCTCACCTGCCTTACAAAAATATTTCCCAGAAGAGCCTGACCTTTTATGAATTGATTAATTAGCGGAGGAATTATCAAAGCACTGGTTTTTCAGCAGTCATTTATATTCAAAACAGCGACGCGTCAACAAGGAAAGGACCTTAATGATACAGTAGCGTGGGAAATGCTGCGCCTAACAGTGCCCCCTCCCTTTGTGGTCTTGCGTCAGCAAGCCTATGATTTCGCAAATCAATCTGCTGCAAGTATTCAGAAACTCAAAAAGAGGCTAACGTGTTAATCGCGAATAAAATGCTATAAAATTTGTGACCGATTATGTTGGTCTGATACTATACTATCTGCACTTTTAGATAAAGGAAGTAAACAGGATTGTGCTTTGCTGACAGTGGGTGTTAGAGAACAAGTCGCTCTTGGAAAGCTATCCCTCCGTTTTTTGAAAATTGTAGCAAACAAGTTAATTAGAGTTCAAGGTATAGAACGCTCACACATCTGATCTACCCCACGATTTCTAAACTAAACATGCGTCTAAGCTTGACCGTCGCTCAATCTCGGCATTGTTTGATTGCTTTTTGAGACTGCTTGAGCTGCACACCGAGATTAGTAACTTCTTTATTGACTGACGTTTTGGCAATATCGCCTTCTTCAGAGTCTGAAATTGTCGAATGCATAGGTAATCTATCCTGCCAAAAACCGTATCAAGACTCAGAAAAGATGTCCAATGCGTCAGAAAACCAAGAGCTACAAAAGTAAATGCAGAATTAAACTAGTGCTCACCTAAACAGCTGATGACTGTTTGGTCAGCAGACCGTATACCAGTAACTAAACTCCAACAACTTTCATAGTACCCAGTGACCTAGCACTTGACCTCACAAGCCACAAAGGCTCTGATAAGCGGCCAACTCATTAGTGATGGCTATGCACCCATCCTTTCTATTCAAACTTGGAATTTTGACGGCAATCCAAAACATCAAGACATCATCGCCATCATCAAACATCATCGCCAATATGTACAGGACAGCTGTGAGGGTTTCATCCGACAGGCAACAAAGGGTTTACTCGCTGGCTTGGCTGACCGTGTAGCTAGATCTAATGGATACAAGCCCAGAAAACATTTTTCTGTCAAACATCAGTTAGCCGATGTTGAGACTCCAGAGACCGAGGGAAAAATTCCGTTCTGCTTACCGTATATTTCGGAGGAATTCAGCAAGGCAGTAAGGAGGCTAGTACATCAAGTGGATCTACAAGATTGGGTAAGAATCGTGGGCGTACCTCCCCCTAACCTTAGGCGTCAACTCGTGCGTAATCGCGCTTATGATAGGCTGTGTATGACCCCAGGGTGTGTAATATGTCCGTTTGGCAAGGAGGGAGATTGCAGGGTGTCGGGAGTAGTGTACCTTATCACTTACCAGGCATGTGGGGGCACGTATATCGGCGAGACGGGGCGCCCCCTATGTACTCGTATCAAGGAACATTTAGACGGGCTCAAAAAATCCAATACGGCAACTCCACTGGGCATGCACCGCAGGCACTTCCATAATGACGCAGACATAGCTGTAGAGGTCACGATCTTAGCACGCGAATCCGAGATCCTGGCGCGCATGACATTAGAAGCGTTTTGGATTGCCGCCAAAATTCCAATTTTGAATAGAAAGGATGAGCGCATAGCCATCACTAATGAGCTGGCCGCTTATCAGAGCCTTTGTGGCTTCTGAGGTCAAGTCTAGGTCACTGGGTACTATAAAAGTTGTTGGAGTTTGGTTACTGGTATACTGTCTACTGACCAAGCAGTCATCAGCTGTTTAGGTGAGCACTAGTTTAATTCTGCATTTACTTTTGTAGCTCTTAGTTTTCTGACGCATTGGACATCTTTTCTGAGTCTTGATACGGTTTTTGGCAGGATAGATTACCTATGCATTCGACAATTTCAGACTCTAAAGGCGATATTGCCGAAACGTCAGTCAATAAAGAAGTTAGTTACTAATCTCGGTGTACAGCTCAAGCAGTCTCAAAAAACATGCGTCTATTATATGTAGGTAGACATGGCATAGTTTTTGATAGTGCTGCAAAATGATTATCTATCGATCGGCAAGAAGGAAAAGCTGAAAAAAATAACAGAAAAGAGGGCATAGCATGAGGACAGGTAAGCAACAAAATAAAAACGCCTTTTGAATCGTTTTGTTTATGGAAATAATGACGCAGGTGTTGATTCCTGGTAGTACCCATACGTTCATACAGACTCATAGTTTTGCCAATTCAACAAATTTCCTTTCGTTGCCGAAAAGACTTTCGAATGTTAATTAGTGCTGTTACAATCGTTTTCGCACAAAGGTGCAGAAAATCATTTCTTGGACTTAGAGGCAGCGTCCAGGCAAAATTCCCCCCCCCTATTAGTACCTATTCTGAATTAAGCTCCAGTAAAGGGGCGTCTGCGTTGTTCCTGTTCTTCAGTGTTGCTTCTAAACGGAGTTAATGGGCCTGCAACAGCAAAAGATCTATCAAGCCAGGCTTAGATTAATCAAGTGGTTCTTAAGGGGTGGACACTCAGAAGTAGGGTTTGGGGGTTTGCAAGTTTTGAACTTCATAACGCAATGAGGGCCACGAAAAGGCCCCAGAATGACAAGAACATGAAAGGTTTTGAGTGAGCGCTACCTTCAATAAAACTGGTTCCGCATTGATGATTCAAGAGACAACATTCTTTTCATTGAGCCTACCCCTCAAAAAAGACGGTGAATAGGTTCTGAAGCAACTTTAAAGAAGCAAAATTCTGAATTACAAAGTCGGCAAGTGCTCACTGAAATGATTGGCAATTTAGTAACACTGTACAGCTTGGAATGCATTTGGCAGGTGTGTCGTTTTTGCAACAGTTAAAGGAAAAATAAACTCTTCTTTCTTCAGTTGTACAAATAACAATGCTATCTCTGTTTGCTTATTGCCTCATTCATTTTCGACCAATATTCCATCCAGGCTCATGTCATTGCATGGATTTTCCTTTTCGCTCACAGTCAAATGTAGAAGTGAAAAAAATCAATCGGAAATATATCGTTAAAGCTGACCTGTTTTACCTTTTGATGTAATTATACTCTCATGAAAAACAGTTACATTGGGAGGAAGGTAATCTTACAGGAGAATGAATAGGACTAACTCACACTCCTCCGCACAAAGCTCAACAGTGTTAACACATTGGCGACCGCTTGACACACATGGTGTATTATGGTTGAAATTCAGTGAAATGACATGTACAATGGGACAAACACATTCCAAGAGTTTTTTTTTGCGCTGCATCTAAAGATAATCTCTTTCTACTTTGTCAACTTCACAGAGTTACTGTACGTATACTGTAGATGGTACCATGCGTGATTTTATCCGAAGAATGTTGACGATCCATGACAGGCTTGGTCTCAAGGGTATACAAGACAAAATTGCATGGTCGTCAATGTATTGATGTTATGTCCTGCAACGGAGGAAAGTGTGTCAGCTGCAAAAAATGATTTATGATGCATGAGTTTATATTTGATTAAGCCATCTACATTGCAAGGATTGACTGATTTCTACACATCAAAGAAGCCAAAGCAAGAACCATCTACAGGAACGACTCTTAGAAATGCAAAAGGGCAATTCAAGAACGATCGCTATTGCCCCTGACACCATTATCCGTTTCCTGCCTTTACGACTATAATGTGCATGATTGAAAAACAGAGAAAACAAGAATTTTCCTATCCAATAGGTGTGGTGATTTCATTTACACAATCATCGTGAAAGTTGAACTTAGAGTCGGCATATCCTTTAATGGCAACTCTGCTACTGCTTAGAGGCAATCTAGTGTTGTTAAGAACCAAGCATAATCACAAGAAATCTAGCTAAATTATTGGCGCAGGTATTTTCAACGTTGAGGTCTACAAAAGCAAATCAATGAGCAATCAGTCAAATGATGAGTGATGTCCGTCACATTCGTGCGGACTACTGACTCCATGGTGGACTAGAGACCTCCGAAGAAGACGGTAATTGTCGAAACGGTCAAGAATAAAAATCCACCACAAAACCTGGTTGGCAGAGCAACACTATACAATGAGCCATCAATTAGATATTCCTTTCACGTTACAACAATCTGATAGATAGAAGCAAATTTGCTCTTTCTTTCATGGATAGTCTTCTAATTTTGTATCTTTGAAGGATCAGATTGCAAACCAAGTTTGCAAGCCTACCACATGACATTATAAAATCCAATATAAAAGAACTTTTAAAACTATGTTTCAACAATGCAAATGAAAAATACATTATAATTAATGGAAACAATAATATTTATTATAGCAGCGACACAACACATTTAAGTACAAAATCCAGATCTTATACATTAACAGATTTACTATATATAGTAGACTATATTCTAGATAATAGTTTCTGTCGCTTTAGCATTTATACTTTGGAACAAAAAGTTGGTGTTCCTCAAGGTGGCAAATTTAGCCCACTATTAGCAGATCTTACACTTTCTTGATACGAATATAAGTACACCACTAAAAATATTACAAACAATTTCCAAATAATACCTTATAGATATATGGATGATCTATTACTTATTCATAACATGGAAGAAAATACTATCCACAAGTTAGTCACAAAAATTTACGAACATAAATTTCAAATAGAACCTACACACTTAAATACCCATAGCTGTAACTATCTCGACTTGAATATTGGAATATTAGGTTGTCCCGAAAGTTTTGTCGGTTTTTTCAGACCACTGTAAAACCATGCACAGTAAAGACCTGAGTGAGTTTCAACATGCATTCGATGCAGCTTCTCCTTCTCTTTCTTATAGTTGCACACTCATACCATAATCTTGTATGCTTTTTTTTATAATTGCCAAAATTCTCCGCCTGTCAATTTTGGCTGCTGAAAGTTGAGCGAATTTTTAAAAATTTCGTTACAAAGTTTCGGATCAAGTATGGGTCAAATAGAGCAACTCTCGGGCTACAAGACGTATTTTTAGATTCTCCTAATTTGCTGATTTTGACTTCAAAAAATTATTTCTTCTGAGGTCTCGATTTTTGGTCATGAAACGCGCAATTGCAGCAAAAGCATGAAAGCTTTTTGAAGTTTTTGCGAGTTCAAACTTAATTTTTGTTAAACATTTTATGCAGCATAACCAGTTTGATTTGCTTCAAAAATCAGCTTTTTGGAAATTTCGGTAATTTTATGTGGTAAAACGTGTTCAAAAAGCCGCGGTTTTTCTTGAGTAAATAATTATTAAGGACTTGATAAACGTGGCCCACGTAATCTAAAACAGCCACAATGTAGCCAAAGGTTTGCCCTACATAACAGTCACCAGCGCTCGTCGAAAATATCAAGATAAAAATTTTGAAAATTCAGGAAAGTTTTGGCGTTATCGCTGAGGTGCTCAAAAAGCTATGGCGATAATATCGCAAAGACGGGGTAGATCAGGGAACAAATATAGCTATAAGAAAGAGGATAAAAATGTGAATAGAATGATACTAATCCGTTCATGGAATGGTGTTCTGTGAGGTTTGGTGAGCGATGAAAAAAACCGACAAAACTTTCGGGACAACCTAATAATAAAGAATAAATTGATTACTAAATTATATAATAAAATTGACTGCTTCAATTTTAACGTTAAAAGATTTATACATTCTACATCTAACATCTCATTCAACATTAAAAAGGCAACCATATATACAGAAACTCTTAGAATAGCAAGAACATGTACATACTTAAACGATTTTACGCAAAAAATCTCACAGCTCAGAGATATACTATTAGGTTGTCAAGAAAATAATGTCCGTTTTTATTTGCTTGCTTTAACAAAGCAACCAGACTGAACCCAACAAAGGATAAGGGGTACTGTTCGATAGAGCAAAGCAAGCTCTACAAGATGGCACTCATATCTTTGCGCCATGCTCGATCTACGGAGAGTTCGAACTCAAAATCTAAAGATTTCCAAATGCCCAAAAAATCGAAAAAAATCAGATCTTCGTCCAAATAATTTCTACGGACCTCCCACTCGCTCACATCAATACTATCGATATCTGATATCCATATGTGCGATTGCCGTATTTTTCCCTTGACTAGAAATTGAGATAACGAAAATTTCCCTGATTTTCTCAAAGCAATGCTGAGCCGTTTTTGCATATAGTTCTATACTACAAGCCTAGGTAAGCATAACTGTAAGTTTTCAGCCTATTTCGAGCGGTACTTTTCAAGCAATATCGATTTTAGCACTGAAACTGAAACGAAAAAATCCGAATTCGTTATTTTTCGAAAACTACCGCTTGGAATGGGCTGAAAATCTACAGTTATACTTACCTAGGCTTATAGTATAGAACCACACTTGCAGAAATGGCTCGGCATTGCTTTGAGAAAATCAGGGAAATTTTCGTTTTCTCAGTTTCTAGTCAAGGAAAAAATACGCCAATCGCACATATGGATATCTGATATCGATAGTATTGATATGAGCGAGTGGGAGGTCCGTAGAAATTATCTGGACGAAGATCTGATTTTTTTCGATTTTTTGGGCATTTGGAAATCTTTAGATTTTGAGTTCGAACTCTCAGTGGATCGAGCTTGGCGCAAAGACATGAGTGCCATCTTGTAGAGCTTGCTTTGCTCTATGGAACAGTACCCCTTACCCTTTGTTGGGTTCAGTCTGGTTGCTTTGTTAAAGCAAGCAAATAAAAACGGACATTATTTTCTTGACAACCTAATACTTGAATGAATTTACATAAGTGTAATATCTTCCTCAGTTTTCAAATGCTTGAATAGAAATCCATTCATACTACATAAATATAATATATTAAATAATGAATTCAAAAAAAAATGAGTATAGAAAAATATAATATCATGACTTATAATAAGCGGCTTAATCTGAAGTTGTGTGGAGTTTGTCCGTTACGAAATTACAGTGAGGAATGATTTACATTGCTTAAATGCATGTGAGAGTTGCAAAGCAAGTAAGGTTCATTTTTGTAATTACTTTGCGGTTTCCTCCATCAAAGAATGATGAAGGCCAAGATCATTACATAAGTTTACCTATACTTTTCAGATGGCCAGTGCGAACCTCTGCGAAGCAGAGGTAAAGCACTGGTATTATAAAATATGAATAAATTATGATCAATCGATATATATCAAACGAAGTGTAAATGATATATTCAACACAATAACACAATAAAAATGAACAAGTCAAGACAAGTCCATTCTTACTTTGCAACACAGAAGATCATACGACAGAAAAGAAGAATTGGACAATCGGAGTACAAGTTGAGTTTTACAATTTTTTCAAAATAATTTCTATTGAAAAGTAAAAACTAGACCCTCTCTCCTTACTGAAGAGTCCCGGAGAGGGTCTAGACCTCAAAACTCCGTCTAAGGAAAGGGACGAAACGGAGTAGAAGATGTATAAATCTATCAAGATGTATAAATCTATCTTTCTTCTTATTGCAACTTGAAGAATTCAAAATTTTGGTTGGAAATATTCTTTCAGTTCCCTATTATTGGAAGCAAGATTCTGCGAGGTATCATCGGTAGAATTCTTCAAAAGAGTGGCATACGATAACACAAACTACTAAATTTCAAAAGCCTTGGCACAAAATGGTTCAGGAAAGAAGTAAGTGTGTCTAGTTACAGATGACTTAAAAATAAATAAACTGAACATGCGTTTTCAAAATTAAATGCACAACTTTTCGACTTATAGAGGTCTATTTAGAGTGTTGATTCGTACTATTAGAGCATTCGGCAGATCAGAGCTTGGATCTAAGATTTTTCCTAGCGGTCTGGTACTTATGGAAACACATAGCCATTTGAAGCATCCTGTAAACTTTTATATTATAGCAAATCAGATTACTCGAAAAAGATGTAAGTTTATCTTACTTCCGGTCGGTCACATTTCCTCGGTTAAAACAACAGCGATCAAGTTATGTGAGATGAATGACGTTTTTAATTTTCCAGATGAAAGTTCTTCATCGTTTATAGGTGAAAGTTCTCAGAAAAATTCCTTTGTCTATCCTCTGTAACAAGTACATCTTTTACTGATCAACCTTATTGAAGAATCAAAAATTTGCTGCAATGTAGCTTTGCTTTTGTTCTTTTTATAGTAACCTATCCAACGCAAAACAAGTGCAAACTTTCAACAAAGCCATTCACCCACCCAATACTTTTGCTTCATCATTACTAGAAGTTGATAACACT